TCCATTTGGGAAAACTTACACCATCGCCCTCTCCCAGGCTTGAAGCTCACTTGTCAGTTACTGCTGTGTGACCTCAGGCAAGTCACTTGTCCTCTCAGAGCTTGGGAGAATTGTTGGCATAATCAAACCTGTGCCCAGGCTACTTAGACTTCTCGCTCTGAGCTGCACAACTCCTACCTCTGAGAACCTTCTGGAGCTGGCCAGGAAGGTCCTGGCTCTACCCTCGGCCTTCATTTGATCTCTACACGACTTGTGCCTGGACACGCTCAGTAATTACAGATAGCAAGACCCAGCGACGTGACTGTCGTAAGGGGACACTTCATGGAACAGTAGGGAGACACAGAGTCAATGTGGAATCACTCGAGGCAGGTGGAACCCAACACCATTGACTGAGAGGGCTGATTGGTTGGGGCAGGCAGTCAGCATTTGATGACCGGAAGTGGACTGTGAGGGCCCAGGACACAGGGTTTGCCCTGGAGCGGAGAGTGTCTTTCTGGTACCACACACAGAAGGCTGGCCCCCTCACTGGTTCACAACTTTACTGCAGCCCTAACAGTGAAGTTTCAAAGGTAGTATTTTCAGCTCTGTTAGGCCAAGGGGAAGAAATAAATCCACAGCCTCAGATGAAAATGGAAATGTCACATCCTTTTCAAGTTCCTAGTACCCGTACATTCCAAACTGGAGGATGAACTATTTATTTACTTAAGAATGGACTTTTGTGTTTTTTTGAGTCGGAGTCTCACTCTGTCGCCCAAGCTGGAGTGCAGTGGCACTCTCATGGCCGCAGTGGCACTCTCATGGCCACAGCAGCCTCAACCTGCTGGGCTCAGGCGATCCTTCTGCCTCAGCCTTCCAAGTAGCTGGAACCACAGGCACGTACCACCGCACCTGGCAAATTTTTTTATTAATTGTAGAGACGAGGTCACCAAGTTGTCTAGGCTGGTCTTGAACCCCTGAGCTCAGGCAATCCTCTCACCTCTGCCTCCCAAAGTGCTGGGATTACAGGCTTCAGCCACCATGCCCAGCCAAGAATTGACATTTCTTTTTTTTTTTTTTTGAGTTGGAGTCTCACTCTGTCACCCAGACTGGAGTGCAGTGGCGACGCCCAGCCACCGCGGCCTTCGACCTGCTGGGCTCCGGCGATCCTTCCACCTCAGCCTTCCGAGTAGCTGCAACTGCAGGCGCGCGCTGCCATGCCTGGCTCATTTTGATTTATTGTAGAGATGAGGTTTCGCCAAGTTGCCTGGGTGGGTCTCGAACCTGCGGGCTCAGGCAATCCACTCACCTCAGCCTCCCAAAGGCACAGGATTACAGGCTGAGCCACCGAGCCCAGCTTAGGACACTTCTAATTGTATGGGATAGAGGCCTGCACAGACTACCTTAAGTAAAAAAAGCGAATTTGGGGCTCACATGTTGAAAAGTGTGTGTTCCCAGCTTCAGGCCCTCCACACTGCAGTGATTTCCAGCATGGGGGTCCTAGCAGCTAGGCTCCCACCCAGAGAAAAGGAAAAGTTTTTTTTTCAGCATCCCTGAAAAAGTCCTGGCCCGTATGACACTGTCCCCACATGGGTCGTCTGTAGCCAAGAGGATGGCTCAGAACTGGCTGCGTTCCCATTCCTGGGGTGGATGTCAACCCAATCCAAACCACATGAACTCAAGGGGGGGGTCCCCAAGAAGACTCAGGCACAGGACCAGGAGGCTCAAGGATCCCAGGGAAGAAGCAGGCTCTCAGCCTCCACAACTGGGTAGGGGCTACACCAGGAGCAGCTGTACCAAGGCTGAAAGAGCCAGACACCAGCTTCCCTGCAGATGCGGCCTGGGGGGATCAGCCCTGCCTCAAGGGCTCAGCCCACTTGGTCCAAGAGCCCCTTGGTGCAGTCCAGTCTGGGGGAGCAGCTGTGGGCCACCCATGCCTCTGTGGGCCCTCTTAATCCAGGGATGCCTGTGCTCTGTCTCTCCAAAACCACCCCTCCATAGATGGTGAAGGCTGCACAAGAACGTGAATGTACCTAATGCCACTAACTACACTGGAAAATGGTTCAAATACTAAACTTGGCATATATTTCATTATAACAAACCATTTTAAAACACCCCACCCTTCCAAGAGATGAAGGGGTGAGGCAGGAGGCCCTTCTGCAGTCCCAGCTCCAGATTGCCACCCCCTGGCCCCGAAAAGATGCTGCCCAGATGGGGGTCCTCTGCCTGCCTCACCCAGCACTTGCGTGTCACGATCCACTGCACAGCCGGGCCAGGAAATGACCTCTTGTCCTCATCCTCTTTTCCTCTCCCACCCAACGGATCCTGTGCAGGATGTAAAAGTGGCACAGCCCCTTGCCCAGCTGGTGTTGCGTCAACCACATACACCAAGCATGGCCATTTATCCTTAAAAAAAACATCAAGCTATGTGCAGAAAACTCTTCCCAGTGTGCAGAGTACACTGTTGACGGCCCTTCTTTTCTGCTCCATGGGCTGCAGACAAAGGTGCCCCTTGGATGGAGAGTCAAGGGTTTGTTCCACCCAGGAGACCCTCCTGACACTTCAGACTCCACACCGGAGGGATGGTCCCCCAGACCCACACACCTCCCAACAGTCGTCTTCAGCAAGGTTTGTTGTCGAAAGGGTTCACTGAACGCATGAAGTAAAGATGTGGGTCCCCACAGCAGACGCCAAGCAGAACCCAGTGCGGGCAGCCTATCTCAGAGAAAGGACAGTGGGAGGGTGGAAAGGGCCACGCTGAGTGCATCACCAAGGCTAGTGGAGACCACCTGACAGGAGTACAAGGAGGACCCAGAAAAAATCTGTAATTACCCTTCGGAGGGTGGGCCCCTTGTAGTACAGACTTCCTCCAGTAGGTATGCTTTCCAGGAACCAATCCGCATCAGAGTATCAGCCAGAGTCATAAGAGGCTGCACTCATCTTCAGCGAACTTTCTGGGGAGAGTCAATGCACTTGTCCATTTCCAGATGATTGAGTGCACCTGCCTACACCGCGCTGCGTGTTCAGCAGTTCTTGACCCAAAGCGGCATGACCCCCACGCCCTCCCCTCCCTATTCACCCTGAGGGACTGTTTTGTTTCCCCAGATGAAAAAGTCCTCAAAGGGAAACTTTTTGCCAGTGTGGAAGAGGTGAATCAAAAAACAGCAGCATCACTAAAAGGCATCAAAATGGACAAGTTCAAAAACTGTTTTGAGTAGTGGAAATGTATCTCAATAGGTGTATTGCATCAAACGGAGTACTTTGGAGGTGGCTGAAGTTTTAACATATAAGAATACACAATTTTTAGCCGGGCTCGGTGGCTCAGCCTGTAATCCCACGCCTGTGGGAGGCTGAGGTGAGTGGATTGCCTGAGCCCGCGGGTTCGAGACCCGCCTGGGCAACTTGGCGAGACCTCATCTCCACAATATCAAAAAATTAGCCAGGTGTGGTAGTGCGCCTGTAGTTCCAGCTACTCGGAAGGCTGAGGCAATGGAAGGATCGCCGGAGCCCAGCAGGTTGAGGCTGCCGTGGCCGGGAGTGTGCCACTACCCTCCAGCCTGGGCGACAGAGTGAGACTCCAAATCAAAAAAAAAAAAAAGAATACACAATTTTTTAATAAATGAATTCTGGTGTTTTTTTGGGTCGAACCTACAGAAGGGTCCCTCCCTCCTCGACCCATTTCCTCCTCTTGCACAGAGGGTGCTCCTCGCTGTTCCAACACGGGCCCGTCAGGGAAGGCCTAGGGATAATAACACAAAGCAGCCTCAGAGGCACTTAACCCTCAGCTGGAGTCAGAGGGCAGAACGGACGGATGTGGGTGCTAGAGGCCTCTGGCACACCGTTTTTGGTACACTCCATCCCCTGAGAGAAACCAAAGCAAAACACAACTGTCCACAACACAAATTTATGTCTTGATAGAAAAGGGTCCAAACCATTCACAGTGGTAATGGCTCTGAGGATGGAGTTGTCTGGTGAAGCCGCAGGAGAACCCAGGCTGCAAAGATACATTCACGGCCCAGGCAGCCACAGCCACTACCACAATTCCAGCTTGGGAACAGAGGAGCTCCTCCCTCTAGGAGCACACACCGGTGGGAAAAGTGCTAGACACTCTGCAAAGCAGAATTCCAAGCACATCCTGCAGATGTTCCCTCCCACTTCCTTTCCTGTGGAGACAGTTGGCCAGGGAAGATCTATTGCTGGGGCAGCAGGGCAGTCCCCCGCCCCCAGCCACTGTCCACCTGGAGGGGACAGTCTACAGCAGGGGAGCCACAACATGATGCTGGTAGCTACAAGACCTGGACCATGTGCCCCTGTGCCTCTGCAAAGGCAGAGTGGATGAGGATGACTGTGTTCACAATGGTACCATCAGAAGCCCCCTTCAAAGATTAACCAAAAAAATCTCCCAGAGAGTGAAAAGGGGCTCCCAGTGTCCGTATCAGTGGTCAGTCAGTTCCCCTTTCAGAAGGGTCTCGTTGGTCTTGAGGTACCTGCCCTGTGTAAAGCAGCAGCAGGAGCTTAGCGTGGGCAACACAGTCAGCTCTGGGGCCGGGCCCCAAACATCCCTCTCCTGAGGACTTCTTGGCTGCCACGTGGGTCTTCTCCATGGGTCTTTTGTTGCCCTAAATAACTTCAAAAGGAGAACTTCAGTGTAGCTCACCTGAGCTAGCATCCCAGGATAAGGCTATGGCAATGGCTGACCAGCTAGGTCAGTCCTTCCTAAGGAAGAACGGGGTCACCTCCTCCCCGCAGCAGAGCATGCTCTGTGGTCTGCAATGGGGTGGGAAAGGGCAGCTCGGACACTCAGAAAGGGTATGTGAAACCCAGTGAACAGACAGTCACATTCACTTGGCAGTCAGGGGGGTGGGGGGGGCGGGGGCGCCTGGCACACAGCAGGGCCAGAAGTCAAAAGGCAGTCTAACAGTGAGCTGCAGCTCCAGAGGGTGGCAGCAGCATCTGCACCCACCTGCGGAGGGCCCAATGAAGAGGCTCTAGAGCAGAGAACAGCAGAGACCCTGCAGCAGCAGTCAGAAAGCAGTCGGTCAGGTTCATTTATTCCTACTCAACAGAACCCCGGAACACAGGAGCAACTCTGTACAACTCTGGAAACTCACAGCTAGCTCCAAAACAATAGAAATTTTAAACTACAAAAGAGGAGTTGTATTCAGCAAATATAAAGGGCAATTCTAGGCCGTGATGAACATTTATCAGACTATGTACAGCGCCCGGGCATGGGCTCAGATCTCGCCGGCCTCCTTCTCCTCTGACTTCCGTGAAGCCGCCTTTCCATTGGTGCTCTCCAGCCTCCTGTCGGTGGACCCTCGCTCGCTCCGCCCGCACTCCCAGGACTCCTCTCTCGATACCCGCTCTCTGGAGAACCTGGGAAATGGGAACCAGAAGCTGAGCGGAGACTGCCGTCCCTTCTGCTTGGCTGTTCAGGAACCCTCACACCAAGCTAGGGAAGGCCATGCACACCTACCACTCCTGGGAGCCCCCAGGAGGCCAGAGGACAGCCAGGCCTGCCCAGTGCGCACACAGAGCGTTAGGTAGCCATTAAAAATTGACCTTGGCAAATATTTTTAATAAGGAAAGCCTTCACTGTAGCATAAATGGAACAAAGGAGAATATAACAAACTTATACGCGTGGAATATGATTCACTACGTAAAAATACAATGGAAAAAGAGACCAGAATAAAAAACCACAAGAGGTCAGCAGAGCCTGGTCAGGACACATGTCTCAGTCACTCTGTGTATAAAAGTAACAGTACACAGCGCCCCAGAGCTCCAACCAGGGACCGTGAGTATACAGTCCCTGCTGTATCACCCAGAGCTGTGTGAGCTCCATTACAGCATTCTCACTTGTTCCCAGTACCCAGAGTCCCACGCACCACTCCCCAACCTCAGTCCCATCAGATACGGCCCCTGGAAAACCCTGGGAACACAGAGAAGGGCTCACTCCTGGTTGCAGCTACCGAAGGAGTCAGAGTAGTTACTTGTATTTCGCACTCCGGTCCCGGGAAGCCCGGCGGTGTCCCCGACTGTGACTTCGGGAACGGCTGCGGTGGCGCCGGTGTCTGTCTCGGGACCGGGACCTGGATGACTTCCGTCGCTCTCGGGAGGCAGATCTTGACCGCCTCCGACGACGGTCCCGGGAGCGTGACCTGGAGCAACCAGAAGGCTCTAAGGCCAAGATGCCACAGGCATCAACACCACAGGGCACCATCCCAAAGTCCTCCTCTTTCAGGGTTCTGTTCACTGCTCCACTGATATGTTCACCTCTCCTCCCACAAATTTATAATGTAGGTTTAAAATATTTCCATCAGTTAATCTCTGATGGCTAGACCTTCACAATGATGCCTCATGAAAACATCTAGCTGAGACACCTTGCTGGCTTTCTCTCTCTTAATGGTGGGTCCTGGCCTGCATTAACAGGCAAGCCCCATGCCTTGCACCCTTCATAAGCCATCTACTTACCAGATACCAATCATGAGGTAATAAACATAAAGATTTTTTAAATGCTTGTGGAAAAAACATCTGATTGAGAACATTTTTTTTTTTTTGAGTTGGAGTCTCACTCTGTCGCCCAGACTGGAGTGCAGTGGCCGCTCCCGGCCACCGCAGCCTCGACCTGCTGGGCTCCAGCAATCATTCCGCCTCAGCCTTCCAAGTAGCTGGAATTACAGGCGCACGCTACCACGCCCGGCTAATTTTTTAATTTATTGTAGAGATGAGGTCTCGCCAAGTTGCCCAGGTCAGTCTCGAACCCGCGGGCTCAGGCAATCCACTCACCTCAGCCTCCCAAGGCGCGGGATTACAGGCTGAGCCACCATGCCCGGCCGATTGAGAACATTTAATGGACCTAGAAACCTACCTTCTGCGATCTCTGGTTCTTGATCCAGACCTAAAAACAAAAAATAAGATGAACAATTTCCCCAAAGCACCCCATTACCCATCATCTGAAGGGAGGCACCCCAAATGTGAGAGGTGAAAAACTTCCCCCAGCTGTGATTTCCTAGCTGCCTACTTGTTCCCAGCCTGAATGGGAAGGTCAGTGTTCCTGGGGTGAAGCCAGCTCCCACCCCATAGCTACTCTGGGGGCACACTCAGTGATACCCGAGACTCAGGACCAGTAGCCAGGTAGACACAGCCCTGTTAAGTTATAAGACTCATAGGAAACCTGTGTGTGCTGAGGGTTAACTGCTAGTCCAACAAGCAGCTTTGAACCTCTATAGTAGATACCAGAAGAGAATGCATAGTCACAGGACAGATGCTAGGGGTTGGGGGAGAAGGGGGAAGCACACCTAGACTCCAAAGTTAAAGCAAAGTCCCACATTTCAAACACAGGCTTACTGCCAGGTAAGAATCACATGAGTTTATACTGTCACACAACAAGCAAGCTGTTACAACACAGTCACATTCCACACCCATTCTAACAGCACCGTGCAATCATCAAGGATAAGTGGTCCCACATGCACCACTAACGTGCGTGGTCTAAACGTGACTTTGCATGCAAACATGCCCAACTACAAGTGGTCACCTCTCTGCAAAAAGGGACTGTGTATTTTGCTTAATACCTTTCTATATTGCTTGAGTCATTCTATAATCAGAATCTACTGCTGATTACAATGTGACTGTTATAAAGGTTACTGTACAATAAGAAATACAACAAACATTTGCCTTCTGGGCTGTGCACTAAGGAATTCTTTCAGGAAGGCAGTTTTCAGAATTTCAAGGACAATGAGCTTCCTTTCAGGAAGGCATGTTTACTCTGGCTCCTTCTTCCCAGAACTCCAGTGGAGATGGCATCTCACACCAAGTATGGTCAGAGACCATACTACTTTCTACCTCCTCCCCACCCTAACCCACCATTCCTAATCTTCCTGCCTCCAGACGGGCCAGAAACCATGAGGTCAGCTTCATCCTCCTCCACACACTTCACAAACTACCAACAAGTCCCATCAGCTCTATCCTAGAACAAACCCAGACTCTTGCCTGGTTCAAGTTACATTTCCTTCATCTGACTTGCCCAGCCAGCTCCTCACGATGCTGCTTCTAGCCCCATGCCTGATGTCACTGTGCTCCACAGGGTGGCAGGCACATCCTGGCAGTAAGATCCCATGTTCCTCCTATCACTAGTAAACGAAGGCCTGAGCCCTTGCCTGGTGGCTAGGCACACACAAACCTGGGCCAGACCATGCCTCATTAGCCAGAATTTGCTGTGCGCTCACTTATCTTTCTTATAAAGTTCACTTTAGTACCTAGCAGACCTTCACTATACCAAGCAACCCTGGAATGGATGGAGAAGAGGCTTCCTGAGGCCCAGTGCCCTGGCTCACCTCCTGCTCAGTCGCTCCTCCCGCTCCCTCTCTTCTCTCCTCCTTAAGCGATCCTGATTTCTTTTCTCCTGCTTTTCAGCCACAGTTTTCTAAAAAATGAAAAATGAGAAAATGATGGAAGAGCAAGTTACACAAACTAGTGTGTGAATGCTATTTAATCAACAGAGAAGATCATACATGAAAAAATCCTTTATGTTTTTAAAATTCAGTGACAACTGCATATTCTTATTTCTTTTTTTAGTTGGAGTGTCACTTTGTCGCCCAGACTGGAGTGCAGTGGCACGCTCACAGCCACCACAGCCTTGACCTGCTGGGCTCAGGTGATCCTTCCGCCTTAGCTTTCCAAGTAGCATGCGCCAGCATGCCGTTTTTTTTTGATTGATTGTTGAAATGAGGTCTCGCCAAGTTGCCCAGGCAGGTCTCGAATCCGTGGGCTCAGGCAATCCCCTCACCTCGGCCTCCCAAAGTGCTGGGATTATAGGCGTGAGGCACTGTGCCCAGCCTGACAACTGCATATTCTAAGCAGCACTATACTTCTAAGTCACAGGACATTGATCATACTGTTTCAAACCAATCCAGGAAGCAAGAAGACTCCATAAAACTTTATGGTCAAAAAAACCAGATGTGTCTGACCAAATACATCTTGTTGCTAGGAGAAGTCCTACTATGAAAGAGTAGTCAACACTTGGGGTGCTGGGTACTAACCTGGCTTTATTTTTTTATTTTTTGAGTTAGAGTCTCACTCTGTCGCACAGGCTAGAGTGCAGTAGCACACTCATGGTAACTGCAGCTTCAACCTGCTGGGCTCAGGCGATCCTTCTGCCTTAGCTTCCCAAGTAGCTGGTACTACAAGCCCACACCACCACACCTGGTTAATTTTTTAATTTACTGTAGAGACAAGGTCTTGCCAAGTTGCCCAGGCTGGTCTTGAACCCCTCCCTGGACTCCAGCAATCCTCTCGCCTTTACCCTGCAAAGTGTTGGGATTATAGACATGAGCCACCATGCCTGGCTGAAGTCTGGCATTTTATTTATTTACTGGAGTCTCACTCTGTCACCCAGGCTGAACTGTAGTGGCATAATCACGACCACCCCAACATTGACCGGCTGGGCTCAGGCGATCCTTCTGCCTCAGCCTTCCAAGTAGCTGAAACGACAGGCGCATGCTACCACGCCTGGCTGATTTTTCATTTATTGTAGAGATGAGGTCTCACCTAGTTGCCTAGGCTGGTCTCAAACCCATAGGCTCAGGCAATCCACTCGCCTTGGCCTCCCAAAGTGCTGGGATTACAGGTTGAGCCACCGAGCCCGGCCAAGTCTGGCATTTTATTTTTATTTTTTAAGTTGGAGTCTCACTCTGTCGGCCAGACTGGAGTGCAGTGGCCACTCCCGGCCACCGCAGCCTCGAACTGCTGGGCTCCGGCAATCCTTCCACCTCAGCCTTCCGAGTAGCCGGAATTACAGGCATGTGCAATCAAGCCCGGCTGATTTTTTGATTTATTGTAGAGATGAGGTCTCCCTGCCCAGGGGGGTCTCGAACCCGCAGGCTCAGGCACTCCACTCACCTCAGTCTCCCAAAGGCGCGGGATTACAAGCTGAGCCACCGAGCCCGGCTT